TGGGCTGGGTGGGGTGGATGGAGGAGTGAGCCAGGACTCTGCACAGTTCCAGGTAACCACAGGAGAAGCCACTGCAGGTCAGGCTGTGTTAGCAGGTGTGTGGACTGGGCACAGTGGCTCACACCTGTAATACCAACACTTTGGGAGAACTCGTCTATCAAAAAATAAAAATAAAAAAATGAGCTGGGGTGGAAGGATCACCTGAGCCCAGGAGGTTGAGGCTGCCATGAGCTGTGATCATCATAATCATGCCTCTGTAATCCAGCCTGGGTGACAGAGTGAGACCCTGACTCAAAAGAAAAAAAAGAGGTGAACAGAGGGGAGATGGGGAGAGGGCAACCACTATGAGTGGGCTGACCACCCCCCCCGAGACAGGAGGTTTGGCTCTAGGCATTGTGCTGTGGGCCCAGGCAGTAGGGAGGAGCAGAAGAATGACCCAGACCTCCCCCCAAGTCTGGCTTGAGGGACCCCTCCAGCCTGTCTGGCATTGTGTGCCCCCTTCCCTCTCTCCCAGCTACACATACCTTCCTCCTGACCCCGCCATTCTCCAGACCCCCTCCTGGCATCTCTCTAGAAGCCAACCCTCTGGGTGAAGGAAGAGCTCCTGACTCTCCCAGGCCAGGCAGGGGGTGGCTGGAGGAACCTTCTGGCAAGGACCCAAAGGTCCAGGATGAGGGTGCAGTCAAGCTCAGTCTAATGTCAGCGGATTCCACCTGATGCAGGGGTGGAGTCCTGGACAGGGGGATCAGAAGACGTGGATTCTGGTCCTAGCTCTGCCACCAGCCTGCTGGGGTGTTCTGCAAGCCCCTTCCCCTCCCCGGGCCTCAGTTTCTCTAAAGGCAATGGGTTGACCCACTTGGTCTCAATCATCTCTGGGCCCAGATCCCTCCTGGCCCAGTGCCTCTCAGGCTTTGAATGTTGAATGCTGCAACCCTGAGACCCAGGTTCAGGAGAGGGAGGAGCCACTTGCCCAGGGCTAGGGTCCCAGTGGGCCTCAAGTCTCTTAGAGGTGAGCAGGCCCACCTTGCACGTGCTGTTCCCTCTCCTGGGGTGTGACTCTCTCTCCCCTTTGCCTGCTTCATCCGATTTTACCTTACAGCTCAGCTCAAAGACCACCTCCTCCAGGAAGCCTTCCGAATTAGCCAAATCTCCCAGTTATAGTTTCCTAGGCACCCTGTCCCTCTCTCAGCACCTGTCACAATAACCATTTTGGTGATCAGTTGGTTATTGTCTCTCCCCCATTAGACCACGGCCGTCACAACAGGGACCGTGTCCGCTTTGCTCACTGCCAACTCTTCAGCGTGGAGTGAGACACTCTGTAAATATTTGTAAGGAATTTTACAAAGATGGAAGGAACAGAGATATTTTACTCAGAGGAGAGAAGGCTCGAAGCCAGTGGCTCGGCATCTGCAGGGATGTGAATGGCTGTCATGGTGGGAGGGGACGTCAGGCAGGTGAGGGTGGTGGCTGGGAGGAGGCTCTGGGCTGAGTCCTGCTTCCTTCACAGACAGTTGTTGCGGCAGGTCAGTTAAATGACTTAGCCTCTCGTGCCTCAGTTTATCCATCCATTAAACAGAGATAATAGCACCGATATCAAGAGACTGATGTAAGAAGTAGTTAAATAGCTAAAGTGCTTAGAATGCCTTGTGCCCAAAAGGAGCACTCCTTGTTGAATGATGGAATGTTAGTCGTTATTATTTCAACTTTATGAAAAGTGTGATTTGGAACTAGACTCTGCAGAGACAGCATGGGCCGATAGCGGGGTGGGGAGATAGCGCATTCCCTGGCCCTGTAAGCGTGGGAACAGCCAGGGCACCCATGGCTTTTGGCAGCTTTGGTCCAGGCCAGATCCTAGAGCACCAGATGGAGCAGGCCAGGCTGGGGGCTGCAGCCTAGGGAAGTCAAGGGACACAAAGCGGCCTTGAGGTCTCTGGCCCCAGCACACTCCTTCCTGGACCATCCGCTGGTGCCACACTGCCCACTGAGATCAGGAAGGGAGAGCCCTGGCCAGGCCCGACATACTTCCCGGTGTCCACCCAGTTCCCCTTGGCATCTTGCTAGAAGCCAACCTGAGCACGTTCTTCTCTGTTCTAAGACCCTCATGGCTTCTCCTGGAACCTCTCCTCGAAACTCCTCCTGGCTGGTGCTTCCTCTCATTCCCTGCTGCCTGCAGGCACCTTGGCCACGGGGATCTCCGGCTTCAAGCCTCTCCTTGTTACGATCAGAGCACGCCTCGTCACGTGAGAGTTACAGATGCTGCATCTTCTGTACCTAACAAGTGTATGAGCACATCAAAACCTCACAGCAACCTAGGACCTAGGATATTATTAATTCCACAGGCCCTGGGCTGGTAGAGCTAGGGGTCTGCAGGGAACGGTCTATGAGATCCCAGGAGAGACTGATTGGGTTTAAGTCTAGGCGATCAGAGGTGAGCAAGGACTGGGCCCAAGACACAAGAGAAGCCCTAGGTAGCATGAAGAAGACCTCCAAGAGAAGGGAGGATGGTGCCCCCCCTCCCCACCCCACCCACAGGAATGTAGAGTGTTGGCTGAACCATGGCACAAAAGGAAAGTGGCCATGATGGCCTGCTGATGGAGAAGCTTCTGGAAACAGGAAGAAATGAGTACCGGGTGGATGCGGAGGATGACAGGAGGCTTCAGTAGAAAGGACCCTCAAGTTGAAGGGAGAGCTTCTGACTTGCCCTCCCAGGCAGGGAGTGGCTGGAGGAGCCTTCTGGCCAGGAGCCAAAAGCCCAGAGAGGGAGCGGTCAAATTCAGTCGAATGTCAGCAGATTATGCTTGATTTAGGGGTAGAGTCCTGGATAGGGGGATCAGAAGACATAGACTCTGGTCCTAGCCCTGCCACCAGTCTGCTGGGGGTGTTCTACAAATCCCTTCCCCTCTCCAGGCCTCAGTTTCTCTAAAGGCAATGGATTGGACCCCTTGGACTCAAACAGCTCTGGGCCCAGGCTCTACCTGGTCCAGTGCCTCTCGGACTTTGAACACTGAATGCTGTGACCCTGAGACCCAGCTTCAGGTGGGGAGGAGTCACTTGCCCAGGGCTAGGGTCCCAGTGAGCCCAAAGTCACCCAGAAGACTAAGTCCTCAGACCTGGGTGAGCAGGGCCACCTGGGCCCCTGGAGTCCTGGGAAAGCAAGTCCTGCTACTGACCCTGTAGTTTCCTTCCTCAAACCCAACCCATCAGGTGCTTGGTGCTAGGTACACCAGGGAACTCACCATTGGAGGGATCCGATGGGTTCCACGGTGTGCCAAACGGGCCCCTAGGTCATCCTCAGAGTGGCCCACACAGCCTGTGACTGAAGCAACTACCGTCTTCAGTCTGGTGGGAGGAAGAAAATCCCCCAGCAGTGTCCCACAGAGGGACCCCACAGCCTGGCCAAACCGCTCAATGTCAGAAAATCTCAGACTCACAATTGGAGCAGGGGTCTCTTAGTAATCATCCATCTCAGATGACTGAGGCTTAGTGCAGAGAATAGAGAGACCAAGTGACACAGCCAACACGTGGTGTAAGTGGACCTTGAACCCAGGTCTTTGGCTCAGAATCCAGTGACCTTGGGCATCCCAAAGACTGGCCTCTGGGATCGAGGTGTGAAGAAGAGTCTGGGCCAAGGGGGAGGGTTCTAGGTCCCGGTCTCAGCAAGACACCGACTTGCTCTCCAAGGGCTGCCTCAGATTCCTCTTCTGTGCATTGAAGTCTTGGTCCTCAGAAGCACCATTCAAGTCTCCAGGGCTAACTGCCAGAGCATGAATGTCTCTCCTTGCTGGACTTGGAGCCCACAGGCACCCTGGGTCCCCCACGCAGGTCCAGAGTAGAGGCCCAGAAATGTCTGGAATCCACGAACTTGCTTGGAAATGGTCATTCACTTCTCAGCTGTCTTCAGTGGGTCCTGCAGGGAAAGTGCAGATGTCATCAGGACTAGGCAGGAGTTGGGGGGGGGGTCCAAAGGTCTGGGTCCACATAGCTCTGAGGAGCCCTCCCAGAGCCTAGCAGGCCACCCCTCCATGTAGAAGCCACTGGCCCTTGGAGGCAGTTTGGGAACGGTTTGGCTCCAGAAAGTTCCAGAGAGCTGGCGGGCTGCGAGAAGCCGTCAATGGAAGCAGGTGTTTGCAAGCAGCAACCTGGTTGGTTGGTCATGGAGTCTGTGGGATCCAGAGGCTTGTCTAGGAAGCAGGGCTGGGTCTGGACGGGCTGGGGAAGAAAAAGAAGCTAGTGCCCTTTGAGAGTTGCCCAGCCCCTCTGCTGGGTGCTGGGTTGGGGGCCAGAGACTGGCACACTGGGCTGGCTGTACTCAGCATCAAGGGACAGGGACTGCCCCTGGCCCATGCTCTTCCAGGAACAGGCCATGTGACCCTGGTCAGCCCCTACGCCTCTCTGGGCCTCAATTTCCCTTTCGGTTTAACCAGGAGGTTGGAGCAACTGGGAATGGGGCTTCTCTGGGATCCCAACTTGGCTCCACGCTGAGCCCAAAGAGAAAAAGGTAAGGCAGGATGCTGAAGGGAGGCGTGGGTTCCAGCGTGGCCCGAGGGCCGTGAAGTCCTCACCTGGTGTTTTCACCCCGTGGCCTTGTCCAGAGAGGATCCCCAAAGGCGCTAGGCCTGACATCTTGTTTCCTTCCAAGGTTTGCACAGAAGAGTCTCCCCCGTTTGGAGGAGGCGGGGAGGGGGGCGCAGGGCGAGGGGCAAGGACAGATCCTCCTTTCTCCACGGTTGAGAGGTCCCCATGGTGGGAGGAGGGCGCGGAGAGGG